CCGAAGTCCACCACGTGGTCCAGGTCATGCACATATCTAAGCAACATCGAGACATGAATCACAACATGCACCCATGACAAATCCGGTGGTAAAGCTAGCCGATAATCCAAGTCTCGACTCGAGCAAGGATCTCAAAGGACCAACCACACACGACAGCAGATCCTCATTACCTCAAACCGAGGTATACCACACCTCTAGTCGTACGAAAGGGGAAACTCGAATGGTAGCATTCGGATACCCGTTCGATATAAAAAAACACAAAATGGCCCACCCATGGTGAGAAATCGCAGTAATGCAACACACAACAAGCACACACGACCTCAACAGGTCTCATAATGCCTCGACCGTGAGATTATCGGTCAAACAATCGTGGTCGACACGTGGAGCTGAGTTTCAGCATGGTGCCCACGCCGAAAACTTACCCACAATCTCGACACACCCGTGACTTCTTGCCGAAGCGATTTGTCTCGGTGACTGTGCAACCATGCACGCAGTATAGCCCCGTTATCATACTTACGACACACGATTCTACGACACAAACGTAGCCCCTCATGGCTCCATTTGCTAGCAAAACAAGTTCCCTATCTCGCCACCTCGAGGAATCCTCGGATAGGCATAGGAAACCTATCGGCCAGGCTTCCTTATCAAAACCATCGATCAAGGATGCAGACGCAATTCGGTGGAACTTGGAACTCTCGGCGGTCAAACTGTCCAAAAGAAAAATAAAATGGTCGTTTGAATTTTTTTTTTTTAGGCACTGTCCTCCGAGAGGCGACACGCTCGCAGGCGCTGCATATGCGGGGCGCCAGGACGCTCACGTGCACCTGTTTGGAGACCAATCGCAAGGTCAAAGTTTGGCCGATCACGCTGGCCTAGGAGTTCCGTGTGTCCGGTGATGGCAGCTGCAGCTTGCGTGTGAGTCAACGATCGGCCGCGCGCAAGCCTATCGTCTATCAGCACGGGCGTACACGTTTGACCACCACTTCGTGGCTACATCCAGTCTGAGTCGGTTTTCGGTTCAAGGTTTCGACAAGAAAATTTAATCCATGGTTTTTCTCAATACTAAAAATTTTCTGACTTGGGATTTCACATAGGCCAAAGAAAAAGCAAAAGACGGGTTTTTCCAACAAAATGTGTACAAATGGGGTTCATTCCAAATAAGCTTTTTGGTTTACACGAATTCAAAAGTTTCAAGGTCTCAAAAATAACAAGGCATAATACCGAGTTCCAAGTCCATCACTTCTACACCAATCAATACAATTTCAAGCAAATATTTATTAATAGAGGTAGGGAAAAATTCCCAAAGAGACTGTGCATCCCAGCCAGGAATAATCCCCACCCAGCAGTCCTTGTCGAACAATAAAATGGTTAGCTCGCTCGACTCTTCCGACTAACAACGTCAGCCTTCACGTCAGCTCTTACTCAGGTAGCTAATCGTGTCGGCAATCCTAAACGAGCTCAAATCCTACATTGCTAAGAATTTTACGCTTTGGAACCCCGTAAAGCCTTTATTGATCTGTCGGACATTCTTTTATCTTCCGTTGGTGGTGGTTAGGTCTCGAATCGATCTTCGAGACTACCCAATTACTTTCGTTGGTCAAACTGATCTTAACTCCTTGGTGGCGATTGATCACCCTTCGTCTCCAGTCGGTTGCGTCATCTCGATTGCGTTTCGAAAATAGACCAGTACATCTTCGATAAAGACCCTGACAAACTGATCCGAATGTGAATGAAAAACCCAGTCCGAATAGCATAGCCACAACCCAAAGAATGATATAAGACAAGCGAAAGACTGAAAGTACTCATCTTAATTAATACACAATATTGCAAAATTTGAACTCAATACTCCAAACGAACCAAAAACAAAAACAAGAGTTTTTAAAGGATTGTAAAAGTCTAAGGAAAATACAAGATCACTCATGAAACTGCGGAAGGAATAAAATAACAGGAGTTTCCAAAGACTACGATGAACAAAATTCAAAAACGTAGACGGCTCTGCACTAAGCTCGACTACCCTCCTTAAAAGATCATTCATAATTTTCAAGGTGGAAAACACTTCTTGGTATGCGTTGGTCACCACGTACGCTTCTTCGATGTGACGTTCAATTTGATCCCAAAAGATTAAAACAATTATCACATGCTCAAGGCTAAGTCACTATTGAGGGTTTCGACGACATTCGCGTACTCAATCGCAGACTTAAAATCATCGCCAACAAAAATTCACAAACTTTGCAACAAGTAAGGACTAGCAGAAAACGAAGATACTTATCCTTATTTGTAATCAAAGTCCCATAAACAAAGTTAGTTCCGAACATAAGGCACAAGAGTATGCCCAACAATTCAGATAATAAAACACAGAAATAGGATAATAATCATATGACATGCAAGCTTACTGTCTCACACTGACTGATAACATCCCAGCTTCAAGCCTCCAGGTAAATTCGGACTAGTGACTCTTATTTCAAGCCTCCATAATTTACCCGGCTAATTAGCTATTATACGCCGTTAACCTAAGTTCATGAACGTCGGTATGGTTACTTACTAGTGCATTCGGCATCAACCGATCCCGCTAATAAATAACACTACTAGTGCCATTGGCATTACCCAGTCCCGCTAGTAGATAACTTAACTGATAATTACCCGGCCTAGTGACTCTTATTTCAAGCCGTCATGATAAAAGTTCACATTACACATTAGGTCCACCGGCCCACAATCACATGCATATAAAAACTATACTACCGCATATTTATAAAGAATAAACCATAGTATAGAACCCCCACAAATTCATGAGGCTTCGCCCCTCTCGAGAGTCGCGTAAGAACTTAACTTGATTATAGCTAGAGTTCAAGTCCTTAGATTCGGAGGATAAATTCCTAAGACCCTAATAAACAGTTAAGCAATTAAACAACTAACTCATACCTTGAACTGGCGCGGCTGGACGAAAGCGAGGGGTCATAAACATAAGTACTTAAACAACTCAATAGCAGTCTACAGAAACGTAGACCTGCTCTGATACCAAACTGTAACGCCCCGTTATTTTAATAGAAAAATAACGAATATTTTCAAAAAAATCAGAGTTAAATTTTCGCAAGTCAGTTTAAAAATTTATTTAACGAGCACCACCCAAACCATCACATACAACAGTTAAATCAACACTTAACCTGCAGGGATCACAACCATCCCGATAATATCTCATGCCAACATTTACCATATAACAAATGAAACCCCAACACAAGAATATTTAGAACCCAATTTCAAACATGTGTAATAATCCATATACATGGTTCAGTTTTCAAAATAATAATTCTAACATGGTTCAATTTCCAACATTAATAATAAATAAGTCTGGCAACGAGATAGATAATAAATCAGTAAGCGGAAGCAGATAAACAAATCAATAGCAAATAAATGACCCTGCCTCGCTCGTCTTACGCCACGGCCACCAGCTCAACCTGAAAAGAGGGATAATAGTGTGAGTGAGCAAACAACTAGTTCACTGTGGGAATACCATGCAGTATATAATCAATATAAAGACATAAAATCATAATCGCAGCATGAACACAAATCGACTAGTCTACCCTCCCTAAACACAGCCACGCTCATGTGATCACACCTAACCCGTCAATACAACAAAGACCGGATTACCCGTCAATACAACAAAGACAGGAGCAAACTGTCGATACAACAAAGACAGGAGCAAACCGTCGATACACCATCGCGGAGTCAGCTCTCTAAAGGCTAGAGTTAGGCCTCATAGACTACCGATTCACATGCATACATAGATTATCAAGCCAAGCATTTATAGAAATTAACATACATGGTAAGGTTTATCAACACCCACCTGGACTGCAGATGTACGAAGAATGAATACACGTGAGGTTGCGAGAGGGCTCGACTCTTCTTAATCTACAATTTAATAATTACTATTATTATCATTATTATTATCAAAGACTTATGACTAACAGGCAGTTGAGACAAATAAAATACATAAGGCAGGCAAATATAATAATTTAAGCAGATAACACAAATAAATCAAATAGAACATGCAAAACAATTTAACTTCTAACTCTCTCCCTTATCCAGTTTTACATAAGAACTTATGCATTCATCAAAGAATTTGATTGTTCGATTTATAAAGCCAACTGAAGAAAGATATATCAAAGTACTATAACTTTAGCTGCATTAGGTAAAGAATAAAATATGGACAACATGACAACCCCTTCGTGCACACAGAAGTATCTAATGCCACATTTTCAATACAAATCCCAGTATCAATCGGGTTACTCATTGAAATAAGTAACACCAACAAACATCCAAAAAACAAGCATCTCTCCTATTAAAACATAAGCATGCATATGATTTAATTAAAGTTGAACCTGTAACACTTAACAACTCGCAAACAACATCTACATTTCAGCCTAAACATCACTTATAAATCCAGAATTAAAAAGGACAGCAAAACATGGATCAAAATCAACACCAACATGTCTCTTTCTCATTCTTTTATCTCAACCAATCATGTCATATGCCAAGTTCAAATAACTGAGATCAGATGATAATACTTATTCATTCACAGCCTTATAATCATCTCATATCCTAGGGCTTAGCAATATGCTTCATATCAGCACATCAAAAATGGTCTCAAGCCTCAGTAACAGCAACATATTAATTCGGCCAAAGAAACCACATATTCCGTTCATTTACTTCTTTATCCTCTAACAAGAATCTACTACTTAATGCAACTGAAACTTTGACATATAATAGCACATTTAGACTCAGCCAAGAGAAAGAGCTAAAGGGTCTCAGCTAGTTTTACCTCTTGCGGGGCTTAGAAACAGAACAAGAAAGGACACGGACGGCTGCGAAACGAAGGTCCGATGAGTTGCTATTCAATTCACGTGGCCGCTGCGGCCTGATGCTGCAAAACGAACAACCGATGGGGGCCGCCACTGTTCCCGCACGGCCGGAAAGGATGCCGCTGCTGCTTGTGGTGGGAAGAGTTCGATTTTCGGTCAACAACGACTCGTCTCAGCCGCACAAGGGCCAGGTCGGGCACATCGACGACTCGTCTCAGCCGCACGAGAGTTGGGTTCGGTCTGCCGCTACCGGAAACTGGAGTTCCTCAACTGCCGGAGCTCGTCTCAGCCGCTAGGCATGGATACTTCTGGCCAGGGGTGCTGTCTCGTCGGAAAGTGCTTGCTCTCGGTCACTCTACTCTGCTGCTGCCGCGGACTCCACTCCAATTGTCGGAAAACTGGTGCCAGCCTCGTTGCTGGTGGCACTCGATTCGCTGGATACCTCGTCGTCGGCCGGGTCTGCTGCTCTCGTCGGAAATCTCGAAACGCCGATGAGATTCACGGACGACGCAGCGATGAAACAAGGAGAGGATTTTGGACTCGCGACCTAGGGTTGCTCTGGCCGATGGGATTCGAGGCTCGAAGTCGTGGCTCGCTGTTAGAGGTCGGGATTCACCCGCCTTGCGTCGCCGTGAAAGAAGAGCTCGCGACCACCGGTTGTGCGCTGGCATTATCGTCTCTGAAATGGCCAACTCTCAGAAACTCGCTGGCGATCGATCTGAGGAAGAAAGGCGATTCTTCAAGAATTTGAGGGATTTCTGATTCGATATCGCGAGGAAGAGGATGGGGGCGCTGAGGCTTGCGTGATTTTCAGAAGAAGAAGTAAAGTTGTTGGGCTTAGGTATGCTACAAGGGTCCAATTGGGCCTAACAACTAAAGGCTGCGTTTATCTCAAATAGGCCGAAAGTTCAACTCATTGGGCTGGATTTTTATTTCTTGGGACAGGTTTGTCGAGAATAAATCTCCTAAGTCGGACAAAATACCAAAAGTGGGTCGAAACGGATCGAAGATAACACCATGAGATTGATTAAAAATTCCGAACGATCTAAACTAGCAAAAAAAACCTAACTAAACCATACATATAAGAATCACAATGAAATCTAACACATATAAATAATAAAATTATCAACATAATAATGACATAAATCACGTCACATAACAATTTAATATTCAAGCAGATAAATAAATCAAGGCAGGTACTAGCAGTTAATAAGAAATAAACGAGCAAATAAATAAAACAAGGGCAAATAAATAATTATATGAAATCTCAAAAATTCTAATAAACGAATGAGGCGTTACAAGTGCTTGGACTTCTGAGATATACTAGATTGAGGAGGCTACGACAGTGAAAGGGAGCGCACCCTCAAAGACAAAAGGAGGATCAGGACCCATCTCTTAGTTCTTCAACCTTCGCTTTTTCTCAACATGTCCGTACAATGAAGAGACTTAATTGACCGGCATGTTGAGGAAAGCGAGAGTTGAAGAATGTTGAGAAAATGGTCCTGATCCTAATTCAATTGTCTCATCTCAGCTACCTTTTATAAAAGACTCAAGAAGATATCCTCATTGATACGCGCGACGTTATTAATTTGCCAAAGACTGAGAAGACTTTTCGGAGAGACTCTTCAAATTCGCAGAACTGCGAATAAAATGCGATGAATCGCACTTTATTCGCATAACTTTATGACAATAAATGATTTTGCATATCTGGTTAATCAAGAAGATATCTATCCTCCTTGATACGCATGCCGTTATTAATTTGCCAAAGACTTGAGGGGACGTTTTGGAGCGACTCTTCAAATTCGCAGAACTGCGAACAAAATGCGATGAATCGCACTGCATTCGCATAACGTATTGACAATAAATGATTTCGAATATCTGGTTAAAGAAGATATACTCAAGAATATTTCTATCCTCCTTGATATGCGCGCCGTTATTATGCGCCGAAGACTGAGGGGACGTTTCGGAGAAGAGCCGACTCTTCAAATTTGCAGAATTGCGAACAAATGCGATGAATCGCACTTCATTCGCATGACGTATTGACAATCAATTGCATTTGATTTCGCATATCTGGTTAAAAAAAATACGTAAAATATAATTAATTATTTTTAATGCGCCGAAGACTGAGGGGACGTCGTTTCAGAGAAGAGGCGACCTTTTCCGTAAAACAACTGTCATTTTGCGAGACGAAAGACGCAACCTGCCAACCTTTATTTCGCAGCACGGCGAACAATGTGCGATTAAAATCGCATATCTTTCGCATACCTGAAATTAAGGAGGGAAAAAATCCCGCCCAATGAATTACTAGAGCAGTGAAATGAAATTACGGTTCAAGCTCAATCTTAGATAAAATGTGGATTATGAGTTAAGGTATGTAGATAAATAATATTTAATGTGATTATGTTGGAAAGTGACAATAGAAGAAAACCACTTATTAATAAATATAATAATGTTCAAGCTCAATCTTAGATAAAATGTGGATTATGAGTTAATGTATGTAGATAAATATCGTTTAATGTGATTATGTTTGAAAGTGACAATAGAAGAAAACCACTTATTAAGAAATATAATAATGTCCAAGCTCAATCTTAGATAAAATGTGGATTATGAGTTAAGGTATGTAGATAAATATGGTTTAATGTGATTATGTTTGAAAGTGACAGTAGAAGAAAACCACTTATTAAGAAATATTATAATGTTCAAGCTCAATCTTAGATAAAATGTGGATTATGAGTTAAGGTATGTAATATCCCGATATTTTATCGGTATAAATTATGTTTTAATTCCGATATAATAATATTATCGTTTATTATTTTCGGAATTAATTATGTTCAGTCGAGATTACCGAAATTTTCTTTCGACGTACCGTTTACGTTCGGAATAATTTTGGTAATTAAGCATTATGTTTAATTAAATAATTAAACATAAGTAGTGATTAATTAGTAATTAATCACAATTAAGTGATTAAACCGTGACTTATGTGCAATTTTCCCCAAATTGCTCTAATTGCCGTAAGCTTATCTCATCAATTAGAATTACCTCAATTAATTCCTCAAATTAATTGAAGCTTTCTTAATTAGTAAGGAGAGTTCATATGCTTAGTCATCCCAATTCATTTAATGAGCTAACAATTGTCCAAAGCTTAAGGTGGCCACGCCACACTCGCATCATCACCTTCCCATCTCTCGGTCGAGTATATAAAGGGAGAATTGTACAAAAATTTTCCCCATTTTCCCTTAAAGACTTTCGCAGCATATATCCCCTATAAGCTCAGCAACAAATAGCTCCATTTAATCCCTAATTTTCCCTTAAAATCGCACGGCAAGATAGAACTACCGCACGGCCATTCTCGGACGCGCACGAAGCCAACCATCGCCCCATCTTTCGTTTTCCGCCGAGAGATTTGAGAGGTAATCTTCCTTTCTTGTTAAGATCATGTTAGTAAGGTTATTTCAAGGTTAATTGTTCGGAGGATTTTCAGAAATTCTTAAGAAAATTCATGTCGAACTCGGTTAGCACTTGTTAGTTTTATACCGGGTTAAGTTCCATTTTTTTCAGCAAGTCCTGAGCATTTTTGGTTCCTTTAGCTTTTATTTGAAGTATAATAGTCAGCTGAGAATGATAGGTCGAGAGATGTTGGCTGTATGTTCATGAATTGGCTCACGGTGGTGGGTTGCGCACCTCGCGCACGCCCACGGGCCATTAAAGGCTTGATGGCATTATCAATCAGTATGGTCAAGTTAATCCGAGCAGTTGGTGTTTAAAAGATCAAATTATGTCAATTTATAGTCAGTCAATTCATGTTGGTCGAGATATTTTTCAGTTTGGTCGAAGGATTGGCCGTAGGCCGTAGGCCTCGCACGTAGCGAGCCTACCGCGGCCGTGTGTTATGTCCAGCAAGCAAATTCAGCAATTTCTTTATAAATTCAGTATAATGTTCATGTTAGGTCAGAAAAGGGTTAAAAGAAGTTAGTTCGGTCGGAGAATTTTGCCGGACGGCCGGCAAGGGCCGGCCGTGGTCGC